GGGAGTTGCCACGTGAATTCTAAGCCCGGGCCTAAGAGTTCATTTACCTAAAATTGAGGTGGTAGCCACATTAACTACTAGAAATCAAAAATTAAATTTTAAAAAATTATTATTTGTTTGGATTGGATATTGTTACAAATGATTAAGAAAATTATTTGAAGTTTATATCTCAATTTTGAGAGAATTTGGTGAAGATTCGAATTGGTTTTGGCTGAAATTTAAGATGGTAACTCGAAGAAGAAAACATAAATAAATTGTATATATTTTGTACGTCGAGTATACAAATGCCATACAAATTATTTATATATATATATATATATATATATATATATACACACGAAAAAATCCCTCCTTCAAAGAGCAGAGTCCTTTGGGCTAGAGATTTAAAGGGAAGGTGAATAAGAAAAGGGGGAAAAACAGTGAAAATAGCATAAGCTGGCTAGTTTTTGGACTGGTAATTAAGAAATAATCATTGTTTGCAAAGTCATTAAAAAATAGCCACTATTTTAGCTAAAATACGGAAAGTTCCAACATAATATGCTGGATTTCGGAGCTCTTGCGTATAAACTCCCAGCATATTGTATTGGAACTCCAGCACATTATGAAATTCCAGCACAATAATCTCATATGTAAAAAATTCAAACTCCAGCATATTATACTGAATATTTTCAAAATTTTAAGTTGTTTTTATTCAAATTTTATCTGAAAAAATGGTTAAAATTCAATTACTTTGAAAGTGTGGTTATCTTTCAATTACCAGTTGTAAATTACGCTATTCTATTATTATTTTCATACTTATTTTAACAAAAAATTGGTTATCTTTTTACAGCATTTGAAATAGTGGCTAAATTCTAATTACTAGTTTAAAAATTGGCTACTGCAGCTAGTTTTTACAAAATATTAAGTAACTATCTTGTGGTATATTTAAAATTGAGGATTTTGGCCTTTATATTTCAAATCCGTAAGACCAAATCATTTTGATAGATTAAAAATAATTTGAATATTGAAATATACAATCCGCATAATTCATATGAATCGTTTTCAGTGTTACTTGAAAATCGCATATTTCCATCCAAACCAACCTTAATCTGCTCTTTGAAGTTACTTAAAGTCTTATACATTCATTATAAATCCAATTTTAGATCAATAACTAATGTTTTACTTCATAGCTTCTTCAAATTTCAAGAAATGTGTGTGTGAAGGGG